CAACTGTGGTATTGTATCACACAATTTTCCATTTCTTTTTTGGGTTCAAATTATAACTTGTCTTTAAGCAGAGGACCTGTGCTGATTTAAAATAGTTATTTAGGGAGGAAATGCCAGTGTAGGGCTAGACTGTGGAGACTAACAAAGGCAGGTGCTGTAGCAATGGCTAGGAGAGGTTAGGAGGGATGCTAAGGAAAGGGCTGTAACAGAGAGTACTCTGGGATTTTTCCCGGCCAGGGAAAGCAAAGGGTTCTAGGTACCTTGAAGGTACCTGGGGAGTGGGATGGTAGGGCACTCACCTTGATTTTTCAAAACCACCTGTTTGTAATCTGGGTATTTGGACAGAGCGTCAGGCATAAAAAGAGACTGGCCTAGTGGGATTTGTTTTCCTGAAAACTGGGCTGGTTTTATGTGACCCAGGACCTCATGAGCCTGGGACTTTAGCCCAGGAACAATTAAGGTTTATTTTCACCATTGCCTCACCCTTGCTTCTCCCCTTGAAAACCTCTGAAGTTGGGGAGGAAAATAAGGTGGGAATGTTGATGACAGTAACTAACAAGTTCTAAGCCCTTCACACTTATTATTTCATTTATTTCATTTTATTTCACTATCCCTATGAGTTAGGTACTATTATCATTTCCTTTTTACAGATGCGGAATGTGAGTTAGAGAAGTAAAGTAACTTACCCAAGCTTATTCAGCTAGTTTATGACAGAAGAGGGATCTGAACCATGCAGTGTGGCTCCAGAGTGTCACCATTCTGCTACAGGGTGAAGGTCCCCTAGCTTGCTTGTTCCCAGGAGTTGAGAGGAGAAGGCTAACTCTCTGTACCACTCATTCAAAACAAGTAGGCTTCCTGATGCTTCAAGGTGGATTGAAGCTCCCATCCTTTCTGGAACATTGGTAAGTTTGACAAGTCTCTGATTTCCAAGGTCATTGTTTCCCCTTTCTACAATCTAGCACTGACTGGATCCTTTCCAGTCTTCAGGCATCTCATCCATCTACCCAGTGTTTTCAAAAATAAGTGCTTAATGGCTCTCCAGTAACTCCAGCCAACTCCTTAAAGGGCTTTTGAGAGCAGATCATCTGGACCATCTAACAGAAGTCATCTAACTTTTTAAAGTGATCTTTGTTCAGCTCTTTCTTTGCCCCAACCTTCCCACATGATCTAAGTTGGTTGATCCACTTCACATTCACAGAGCTCTTTCAACCAAGAGCACACACCTTGAGAGTAAACCAGTTCTGGATACAGAGTACAAAAGTTGGGACGGAGGGGAAAGGATATCTGAAGCTAGAAGATTCAGACAATCAGCTTCTCAGATCAGAATTCCTTTCCTGCATCTAGCTCATGACTATTGCATTCACCTGGTTGCCATGGGAACATCAGTCTCGGGTGGATGGCAAGCAGCACTTTAGAAAGTATCACAGGCTACCATGGTAACACCAAAAAGAGTAAAGCTGCATCTTCTCTCCTGGAGGAGTGAGGAAGGAAGGAATGAGGATGCTAAGAAAGGCAGGCTAGAAGGGACAGCCTTTGGACAACCTGGCTCTGACTTTCACAGAGAGGGAATTCAATTCAACAGACATTTAATATGTGCAAGGCAAAGCAATAATGAAAAGACATCTACAGCTGGCCTCATCAGGCTATAACTATCTAGTAATAGAATTTTCAAAGAACTGTAAATAGAGGCAGAATAAGACCCACAATAGGATAAAGAATACTGAAAAGGGAAATTAACTCCAACTATGAAAGCCTCAAGCTTTTAAAGGATTTTGACCAGCAGAAGGGGGAAGGAAGAGAGAACAAGATGAGCAAAGACATGAAGTGGAAGAATTCAAGATCTACTGAGAGCTACGGGTATAGATAGGAAAAGTGATACTTCCTGACTCCAAGGCCTTGGCTTCCATGTGGTGCCAAGAGGCAGGTAAGGTAAGGTGAAGTTCAAGGGATCTGAAGCCAGACTTTTAGGATTGGAATCCCCAACTTGCTGTGTGATCATGGGGATAATCAGTTAATCTCTTTGGGTATAAGTTTCCTTGTTTATAAAGTAAAGATGAAACAATCTACCTTAGAGGGTAGTTATGAGCATTAAATGATTTAATGCACATAAAGTGATTAGAATCATGCCTAACCCATAACGAATCTTGCCTAAATGTTAACAATTATCATTATGCCACCTCCTACCACTTCGCATTTCAGAACCCTGATAACCTCTTTTCTCTGTCCAAGTATTACTTCCTGATTCTCAACATACCCTTTCCTTTACAGAGAAAAGAGGGACTGTGATAGAATTTCTCCCAAGTTTTTGATTCATTTCCTTTCATTGTAAACACCAGGACTAAAGGTTCACAAGTCAAGGCCCTACTTCCACTTGTAACTCATATCTGGGGGTTGTTGAGAGTCTAAGGAAGGAATAGGCAAAATTCCTATGGCAACAATACAGCAGTTTAAAGAACAAGGGAGGAAATGCCACCACCTTAGGGAAGGCAGAAGCACAGACCATAAACCAAAAAGTCAGGTGAAAATCCCATTTATTTATTTTTTTAAGAGACTGGGTCCCACTCTGTCACCCAGGCTGTTGTGCAGTGAAACAATCATAGCTCACTGTAGCCTTGACTCCTGGGCTCAAGCGATCCTTCCACTTCAGCCTCCCAAGTAGCTGGGACTACAGGCACACATGAAAATTCCATTTAGAATTGAGGACTGGTGGGAAAATTCTAACCATGCTGGGAAAGGATCTGGGCCGCAGTCTCACCTCTACCCAATCCTAGCTACCATGCTAATGTAGGAGAGGCTGAAGGAAGTTTCTTTTACTTTAGGATGGGTCCAGAGGCTGTTCACTGCCCCCTTCTCTCTACTCTAACCACCTCCTATGGAGGGATGAGTAACAAGAAGGCATTGAGTTACACACAATGACATCAGCTGTCACTCATTAGATGCCATCACCTTATATGGGGCAAGACTAGAGCAAAAGTTGTCTTAGACGTTTCCTTAATTCCACCATTGTCTCCTTCCCAGCAAGAAGCTGTGTGAGGAACCAACAAGGAAGAATTAAGGTGAAAGGACCAAAGTACAGGAAGGCCAAAGTAGCTAGGGATGAGAACATAAGAAAACCAGGCAGAGGAGGGCAGGGAGGCAAGGTCTGTGGGTATTTATAATTTGGAGGAGTCCAAACCAGCCATGAAGAGGTCTGGTTCATGGCCTCAGGATGACTAACAAAAATGGACCCCCCATTGTGCTTCTCAAGATGCATTAACAGGCAAATCAATAACTATAGGGGACTGGGTCATAGCCAGCAGCTCCTACCTAAAAATAGTGCATTCTCCTTCCCTTCCCCCAGGTCCAGAAAGCAAACTAGGCTAGGACCTAGAAGGGGTGGGGGTGACAGTGAAAAGAACAGCAACAGCAAAAGAGACTGCAAGCCTGGAAGAATCAGGAATGCTACGGTTTGAATGTGCCTCCCAAAAGTCTGTATTGGAAATTTAATTCCCAATGCAACAGTGTTGGAGGGTGGGACCTAATACGAGGTGATTGGGTCATGAAAGCAGAGTCCTCACAAATGGATTAATGTCAACTACAGGTTATTTAACAAGAGAGTTATTTCAAAGTCAATTGGGGGGGGAGGGGGGAGGAGGGGACGGGTATATGCATACACAAAGAGTGCAATGTGCACCATCCGGGGGATGGACACGCTTGAAGCTCAGACTTGTGGGGGGCAGGGGGGGGCAAGGGCAACATATGTAACCTAAACATCTGTACCCCCATAATATGCCGAAATTAAAAAAAAAAAAAAAAAGTCAATTCAGCCCCTAGTACCTTTCTGTCTTATTTCCTTGCTACCACTCTCTGCCTTTCTGCCATGGGATGATCCTTACCAGATGCTGGTGCCATGCTCTTGGACTTCCCAGCCTTCAGAACTCTGAGAAATAAACTTCTTTATAAATTACTCAGTTTGTGTGTTCTGTTATAGGAGCAGAAAATGATCTTAAGACAAGGAGCTAGAGTCCCAGTGGTCTTTTATGACATAAGCAGGCCTTAAGTACTTACTGATTTAGTGTTAAAAGCAATCCCAAAGGCAAACATCACCTGCTTAGAAGTCTGAGAGCTAACAAATTAAAACCTAAGAGCAATTATCCATATTTTTAGTATAATAAAATCTTAGCATTCTGTTGCCATAGAGATCAGTAAAGAATGGAGGAGCCCCATAGAGCCCTGCCCCCAATTCAGGCCCTCTTCTTTCAGTTGGTCCCTAAGCTGGTAGACCAGGCTCTTCCCTACTCCTTGTCAAAAGGCTAAGAAAGCAGGCAAAGGGAGGTGCACCTACCCTTTCACAGAGCTATTCCTGGAATACTCAGCTCCCTGGAATTCACTCATCCCAAGCCTGTTATCCCAGGCAGAGCCATACAGAAAGCAAAGGTTGAGGGAACTGACAGAGCAACAACAGGAGACATTAGGTCCAGAGAACCCGGGTATACAATGCCAAAACCCTTTGGATACTGGACTAAAATTACTACTACTAAGAGGTCAAAGGCAGATATGGAGGCCAAAAGGGTAAGAATGGCAAGTTCGGGAGGCTTCTCTGGTACTTAGGCTCCTTAAGATCACAAAACAACGCCCCCCCCTCCCAAAAAAGTACAGAATGTGCTACCGTCACACTGCCATCTGGTGGAAAGACAAGATCTGTCCTTAGGCCCAGAGAAGGAGCCTGGAAGACTGTCCAGTGGGCAGGTAGGGATGGAGATAGTTAAGATAAAGGCAGATGGAGAAGGAGACCAAGGGACCAAGAGTATAATGCATACAGATGAAGAACCCTGCCCAAGTGTGAGCCTTTTGTGCTATTTTTCCCCTAAAGGTTAAATAAAACAAAATAACGCAATGGTATTACAAATGTTTTATATTCCTAGAACCATCATGGTTTTGGCTCATGAGAAGTTAACATCAGACAGACACACCAACAGAGACCACACACCTATGGGCAGCAGCCACCACCACAAGGGGGCTTCCTTTTTGTACAAAGTTTATGTATATATATATATATATATTTATGTACACAGACACAGGGTATAAAATCCAGTGAGAAGGGCTCACATGTGCCCAAGTAAGGGATGGGAACGGCTTTAACTGCCAGGGTTGAGGCCACAGTAGAGATACACAGGAAGTGGTAGAGAGTAGCAGCCTCCCTCCATCCTTCCACCCTGGGCCAAAGGGAGGACAACCCGGGAGGAAGTATACCTGTACTGGGAAGAAGTACAAGGAAGTTGGAAGATACTGGAAAGGTACCCTACCTTTTACTAAACTTCTGAAAGCCCCTAAAGGCATCCAAAATGCCTGGCAGGACAGATCACTCCCATGCCTCCCAGCAAGATGCTGAGCCTACAGTAGTTTCTGGCCTCAAGCTGTACCAAGCTGTGGTCTAAGGAAAGCTTCACAATGCATATGTCCATGCTATCTTCCAGGGCCCTTGTAGCAGAAAGCTAGCACCTTCAAGGTCCACCCTCCAAACTCCAAAGTCCTCTTGATTCTGAGGTCCCTGATAGATTTTAGGGTAAAAGGTATAGAAAAAGGAGAGAGGTTAGTTCCTTCAGTTAATGCCCTATGGCGTTCCCAATGGGGGAGGAATTGTGGAATCACTAAGGTGATTGGAAAGGGCAAGAAAGTCATCTCAGAGACGATACACACGGAGAAACAGGTATTCAATGTAGGTGTAGATTCTGTTCTCTTCAACTGGGGGCTTTGCTCAGCAGAGTCCATTTCCAGTGGGGCCATGGGCAAGAGCTCTTCTTGGTATCTAAAGGTGGCCCCAATTCCCTCAGAGTTAATGTCCATGCCCTCAGAATGGCTTGGTCCACAAAATGGAGAGATGGGGCCGTGGAAGAGTAGATGTGGAGAAGGGAGTGGCAGGACCCAGATGCACACAGGGAAGCAGTGTACTGTGCCACTGATTTACCTGTGGCAAGGAGAAGAGGTAAATGAAGAGCCAAAGAAAAGAGAATAACCAAAAACTAAAATGAGCTAAGCCCTGAGACTTACATGGTCGGAGGAGTAAAGAGGCTGGAGAGCTGGAAGCACTGAGAGGCGATTGCCTGGGAGGCAAGGTTCAGGGCTGGACTCAGAGCTAGAACAAAGAAAGGCAGAGTGAGTGAGCAAGCACAGAGCATTCATTCTTTCCAGGCCCCTACCCTTCTCTCCTTCCCAAGTCCAAGTCTACCAGTCAGAGCTGCTGGGTTTAGGGCCCCCAAGGGAACTGCTCCATTTAGTTGCAGGGCAGCAGCTTGAGCAGCAGCAGCAGCAGCAGCTGCAGTTGGTAGCTGGATTCCAGAACCTGAAAGGAGAAAAAAAGGTGGGATATCAAGTCCTGATTCTTGATCTAAAATTCAACACCACATTCTTCACCCTTTGGAGATACTCTACCTTCTGCCAATTTGGCCATGAGCTGCAAACGTCCACCTGCTGATCCCAGATCCAGCTCCTGGTCCCCATCAGGAAAAGTGATGTCTGTGCCACCATCCAGCCGCTCAGTTACTTGGCCAACCCTCATAGGTCGACCAGCAAGCTCAAAGCCATTCAATTGTTCCAGGGCCCGTCGGGCACACTCAGAGTCAGAGAACTATGAGAAACCCACGCCGTGTCAGTCATCTTGTGGCCACAGAGATGTTCTCAAAGCCCCAATAACGATCCCTAGTCCTGCTATCCCAAGAAAATTGCATGCTCACTGCAGTACAAACTTTTCTTTCCCAGGGAATGTGACCTATCCCCATCACCTCAAAATGGTTCTCTGAAAAAGACCTTTTCCAACTGACTCAATGGCAGTCACTTTTCAATCTTCCAGCTCCACTAAGAATCTTAACAATGTAGAAGCCTATTATCTGTAGGGAACCTAGCCTGACAGACGTTTCATAAATGAGCATATGACACACCCTAGTGCTAAGAGCAAGACAGCACCCGCACCCCCATATACACACCAGTGCTGCTGATTAAGTGACCTACTGACCAGAAGGCCTCTACTCTCTAGTCCCCTTCATCAGCAGCACCCTGATATAAACAGGATTCCCAGTCTGCTGTTTGTGGTAGTGTCAAGGCTGTTGACCTAAAAGGTAGCAAAACAAGAGCAAAAATGCCCCACAGAAGCCTTTCCATATCTGAGTCACACAGAAAGCTAAGAAAGGTTACTTGCCACCACAGAATCATCAACACCACAGTTGGCTTTGTTTACTCTAGTATTACCTGCCCTAGGGCCTGGCACGTGGTACTGACAATTCCTAGGCAGGTGGTGTATGTGGCTTGCCTTTACTGGACACTTCTGAGGTGAGCAATTCCCCTGGTAGAATACAATCCACTGCCCCTCTGCCCTGTGGACAACCGTGTGGGTGTATGCTGCCTGGATTAAGCCCAGAAAATATCAGCTCCTATCAGACTTTGTGGCTGGCAGCCAGTTCTCAGCCTGGAGTCACATGAGGCCAGAAGAACCGGTTACAGGAATTAGAAACAATTTTGTTGGAGGGTCAGGAAGAGGTGAAACTTGCCCACTATTAGGTGGCCTCACTATTCTCCCCATAGTGTATATTAATACAAAGATCCTTCTCAATGGAGAAACTGCTTCAAATGGGGCAGCACCAGAGGAAAGTAAAACTCCTACTCCCAACACCTATCATGAAAATACATCAATTCTATAGAACATGTCTTTAAAAGGCCATACCTAACCTCCCTCATGCCCCCAACATTTTAGCTGCAGCCTGGAATCATTGCTATTACCCAAAGAGCAAGCTGCAGCACCAGGAAAGCTGGTTGAACTCCTGGACACCCCCATACCAGGGCCACTGACAGAGTGTAGGAGCAAAGCCAAGATCTCAAGCAATGCACTCATCTCAAGGGGTAGAAGGCCAGTCCAAGCTTCAGGCACCAAGGGTTATAAGTCATTTAGACAGTTCTAAAGGAGGAGGATGAAGCTAAGCTGCAAAATCAGACAAGTGGATAAACCCAAAGTAAAATTCAAAAACTAAAAGACCAGTGACTCACTGTAATGAAACCATAACCTTTAGAGCGGCCTGTATCTGAGTCCTTCATCAGAACAATATTATCAATCTGTAGAAAAGAAAAAAATTATTAATAATCTTTTGACCAGCCCACACTTTTTTTTTTTTTTTTTTTTTTTGAGACAGAGTCTCACTGTGTTGCCCGGGCTAGAGTGCCGTGGTGTCATCCTAGCTCACAGCAACCTCAAACTCCTGGGCTCAAGCGATCCTCCTGCCTCAGCCTCCCGAGTAGCTGGGACTACAGGCATGCGCCACCATGCCCGGCTAATTTTTTCTATATATTTTTAGTTGTCCAATTAATTTCTTTCTAATTTTAGTAGAGACAGGGGTCTCGCTCTTGCTCAGGCTGGTTTCGAACGCCTGAGCTCAAACAATCCTCCCGCCTCAGCCTCCCAGAGAGCTAGGATTACAGGCGTGAGCCACCGCGCCCGGCCTTAGCCCACACTTTTGATCTTTCCTACCCAGATTGTCTTAAATACTTTTAACTTTCTAGCCAACAAATTACATCTCTTCAAATCTTTTAAAAAGAGACAAAGGTCCTCTTTCTTAAAAACACTATTTCTGACTAATCTTACTTAATCTGGACTCTATTATTTGATTTCACTGTGTCTGACTTGTCTACTGAGCAGCACGAGCAAAGACGGAGGCAAACTTTCACAGCATGGACCCATATGCCCGTTATGATGTATGCAGTGGGTTTACCATGGCCAGGCAAAACAGAGAGGTACACTCACACTCCCCACTTTTTCCAATTCCCTAGGCAACTGGGACCCCTTTAGAGGTTTCCCTCACTTCTACTCACTTTGCCAAAGGGCTCAAAGATGCCCCGGAGCATGTCCTCGGTGATATTGAAGTGCAGGGAACCCACATAGAGGCGCATTGGTCCACCACTGCCCTTTTGCAGATTGTTGGCCATGGCGGCCAGTCGGTTTTTCTCAGCCTGAGGAAACAGAAAATGATAGGTCATGTCCTACGCTCCCTCTTTCCTTACAGTCTTGTATTATTAATATGTCAGTCTCTTGGCTTGCTCACCTGTGAAGCCTGTACAATGATAGGCACTCCCAGCAGCCGTTGTCCAGTCAGCCCAATGGCCAGTGGCACAGACTGGATTTCACAGAATTCCACATAGGCAATGCCCTTAGAACGACGGGAGTTCCGATCTGAGATAATACGCACATCACGAACCTATCCAGGGCACAAAGGAAATTCTGAGTTGGGCATAAAAGGAGATAGACAGAAGATAGCCTACTCAGAAGAAAACTAGGTGGGAGGGTTACCTTGCCAACAGCAGAGAAAAAGTCCTCCAGGTCTCGAGGCCGAATGCGGGCAGCTAACTGCATACAGAAAACTGTGCGAGCATCACGCTCCTCAGGACTCAGATTATCAATTGGCTCCCTAAAGAGTAAAATGTGTTGAGACCATCTCTCCCAATATTTGGTCTTTGTTCTTCAACCCTGAAGTACTATGCAGTCCTTTAATTTGGCTCAAACAACCTTTTATTAATCCCTCATAATCCCCAAAAACAGTGCTTGTTATCAACTCACCTGACTGGGCTCTTCTCTCTGAAATGAGGACTCTTACTATGTCCATATATCCGCCTAAGGAATAGAGAAACATAAAAGGTGAAACCTTATTCACAATGGTCCAATACCGGGTCTTCCATCATGAGAAAACCAGATTCTAGCACTTCATCTCACAGCAAACTTTTTTTTTTGAGATTTGGAGGGCCAAGGGTGGAATGCTATAGTTTAGGTTTTTGCTCCCTCCAAATCTGATGTTCAAAATTGATTCCTATCACACATGAATTATTTTCTTTTTTAAAAATTTTTTGTAGAGACTGGGTGAGGGGGGCATCTTACTACGTTGCCCAGGCTGGTCTCAAGCTCCTGACCTCAAGTGAGCCTCCCAAAAGTGCTGGGATTATAAGTGTTAGCCACCATGCCTGGCCACAAGTGAATTAATACCATACCTTCAGGGACCAAGTATCCTGCCTATCACAACAGGTTATAAGCACCCTCAGGCAGGATCCATAATGCACTTGTTATTTTACCCAGATTACAATATGAAGGTGATTTTATCAGCAAAACTGATATTCACCCAGGGGCAAGTGGAGGACTCTTGTAGCGCACACGTTCCTCACGACGCCGGTCCCGACTTCGTGACTCACTAGTATGCCGACGATCCCAGCTACGGCTGCGGTGACGACGCTGACGATCCCGACTTCTGCTCCGACTGTTTCTTCGTCTATGCCGATCCCGGTCTCGACTACGACTACAGATGGAAACAACTACTATCATGCATCGCGTAACATTTTGGTCAACGAACAACTTTATATATGACGGTGGTCCCGTAAGATTATAATGGAGGTGAAAAATTCCTATCGCCTAGTGATGTCATAGCTGTCTTTGACGTAGTATAACACGTTACTCGTGTGTTTGCGGCAATGCTGGTGTAAACAAACCTACGGTGCTGCCAGTCTTATAAAAGCATGGCACATACAATTATGTACAAATGGATCTCATGAAGACAGAGAATAGACTGGTGGTTACCAGAGGCTGGCAAGGTTAAGAGAAAGGGGACAGGAGACGAAAAGCCGATTAAAGGCTTTTCTAAAACATAAATGTATGGTTTGAGAAAAGAAGTAAAACCTAGCATTCACTAGATCAATAGGGTGACGATAATTTACAATGACCTATCATACATTTCAAAATAGCTAGAAGAGAATAATTCAAATGTTTCTAACATAAAGACAAATATTTAAAATGATGAATATCCCAACTATGCTGAGTTGAAATTTACAAATTATGACTGTATTAAATTGTCACACGTACCCAGAAACTATATACATCTATTATGCATCAATAAAAAATTCTTTTAAAATAAAAACAATTATGTACAGTACATAGTTTATAATGATAATAAATGAGTATGTTACTAGTTTATGTATTTACTACGCTGTACTTTTTTACTGTCATTTTAGAGTGTATGCCTCTACTTATAAAGAAAAGTTAACTTTAAAACAGCTTTAAGTAGGTCCTTCAGGAGGTATTTCAGAAGGCACTGTTACCATAGGAGAGGACACATAAGTATTATTTATTGCCCCTGAGGACCTTCCAGTGGACAAGCTGTGGAAGTGAAACATGTTGTGTAAGCCTAGGCTAATGTGTTTATGTATTAGTTTTCAACAAAAAAGTTTAAAAAGTAAAAAATAAAAAAAATTTTAAAAATAGAAAAAAACAGGCCGGGCGCGGTGGCTCACGCCTGTAATCCTAGCACTCTGGGAAGCCGAGGCGGGCGGATTGTTTGAGCTCAGGAGTTCAAGACCAGCCTGAGCAAGAGCGAGACCCCGTCTCTACTACAAATAGAAAGAAATTAATAGGACAACTAAAAACATATAGAAAAAATTAGCCGGGCATGGTGGCGCATGCCTGTAGTCCCAGCTACTCGGGAGGCTGAGGCAGAAGGCTTGCTTGAGCCCAGGAGTTTGAGGTTGCTGTGAGCTAGGATGACGCCACGGCACTCTAGCCGCGGCAACAGAGTGAGACTCTGTCTCAAAAAAAAAGCAAACAAATCTATTTTGGCTTTAATGTATAGCATTCCCTAGTATCTTTCAATTTATAAAAATTCCCCAAACCCAAAAGCCTCCAGAATTACTAACCTGCGCTTTCTATCCCTGCTTCTACTATGGCTCCGACTCCTCTTCTTCCTGTGAAAGACAGTGTAAATTCTTACTACTGAAAAGGTTTCATTGTCTCTGCCAAGGAAAAGGAATGACAGTAAGACCAGGGTAAAACCAAAAGCATCAAAAAGATTGAAGCCCAGAAGAAGGTCTGGCAGTAGTTCATAGCAATTGCACAATACCAACTTACACAGAGCCCTGAATGCTGTCAGGCATCTGAAGTGGCCATTTTTCCCCCTAAAGCCAAGCAAAAGCTGGTGTTTCCAAATCAGAGGTCCTCTTGCTATTTTATTCAAATGAAATGTATCGATGCTAGGACTGATCCACAAATCTACACTGGAAAAGTGAAGACTAAAGATCATTAAACCAAGCCACCATTATTCTCATGACCCAGTGGAGCCATTACTAAAAGTCAGCAGTCTTAAGAGAACCCCCGCCTCCTCCTTCTGGTTGTTTCTCCAATGGATGCAGTTATTTCCCTTCCCCAAGTTGCCAACCTATTTCTTCATCCAACACTCACTTGCTTGTCTCCCCAGTGGTGCTGCTCACACTGGTAGCACTGCCACTGTTGCCGGTGCTGCTGGTGCTGTTGGTGGTATTGCTGGGACAGTCCTTTTTAACCTCTTTCCTTTGCTGCTCATCCTGAGGAATTCACCAGGAAAATGTCATAAGGTACAAGATGGCAGACAGACAGATTCCATTGGGCAAAAAGAACAAAGGTGGACAAAGAAGAAATCAAAGCTCTTGATTATCTAGCCAATTTTTGAGCAGCTGGGTCTCCTAACAAAGAGAAGAAAGGAAGCAAGGAAACTACCCAAAGGAAGAGATCAGAATGGCAGATTTTGATGTCAAACTTCAGCTACCCAACATCTGGTCCGTTGACATTTATTTTCCAGGAGAGTGAGAAATTGGTGCTAGGTCTGAGGTACACTGATCTACTGCGTCACTGAGAGTTATGAGCAAAGTATACGTTTCCAACGCTACGTTATGTGCCAACTCCTCGTTTTCGAGGACCTCTCCAAAAGTATGGCCCTTGAATATAGTCTCCAGCAAAGTTTACTAAGACTATGCCTTTTATGATTAGTCACAGTACATAATAAACAAGCAAAGGAAAAGGATTCACAAAATGTTGAAACTGAAGAGCCACAACTACTCTTTCTTATTAGCCCAACTCCAGGAGTGAGGTGGGAAATATTACCTCTTCCTTTTTATAGGGAGCTTCCAGCATGGCCTCAATCACTATATCAAAGTCATCAGATGCCATCGTGTCAGATCTGAGGAGAGGGTATCAATATGTAAGAACATGATTTATATTTTTCTTCCCCTTCCAGCACCACACATTTCCTACCCCCTCCAAGAAACAGACTTCAGGACATACAGTTCTGTTTCTTGACCTCCAAAGGGATCTTATGAGCTATCACTTACCCTAGGTTTATTTTGATACCTTATAGATCGGAACTAGTTCTGTTTTATGGCTTAGAAATGGTCATGGATCTAAGAGAAAACTGAATACCTAGGAAGAGACAAAATACAATACGGACCCTGTGCTATGGAAAGAAAATGCTGGTACTCAAAATTACTATTCGCTTTACAATGTACACCAGGCCTCCATTCTATTGTTCAAAATTTGGAATAAATAACTGGTTTAAACTTAAAGCATAAAAATAGGTTTCCAATAAAAAGGTAAAGATGCAAGACTAACTCAGACAAGAGACAAAACACACCAAAATGCAGATTCACCCTAAGCTAAGTTCTTCCTCCCACATACCCCAAATACCAATAATTAGGGTCTCATCACTAATTTTCTGTCTAATACCAATTAGAATTTAGGTAACTCAGAAATTATGATTAAGATAGGCTTGACCAATCCCATTTTGAAAACTTTCTGTCTAGCAGGTAGGGTAAAACTTCTTGCCTCCTCCAAGGTTTCACATCTAGCAACTGTCTTTCCCTACACCACAAGTCTGCCAAATAAGAAAAAAAGATATTGAACAAAATCAACAGGATAAATTATTCAGATTATCGGCCTGGAATTATCAACACACATAACATGGATGAATCTCACAAATTATGCTAAGTAAAAGAAACCAGACCAAAAAAGAGTACACACTGAAAAATTCCATTTATATAAATTCTAGAAAATGCAAACTAACCTATACTCAGAGAAAGGAGATCAGTGATTGCCTAGAGATAGGAGTGAGGGGGAAGGGGATGGGAGGAAAGGATTTAAAAAAGGCCACAAGAGGCCGGGCGCAGTGGCTCAAGCCTGTAATCCTAGCACCCCTAGCACTCTGGGAGGCCGAGGTGGGCGGATTGTTTGAGCTCAGGAGTTTGAAACCAGCCTGAGCAAGAGCGAGACCCCATCTCTACTAAAAATAGAAAGAAATTAATCGGACAACTAAAAAAATATACAGAAAAAATTAGCTGGGCATGGTAGCGCATGCCTGTAGTCCCAGCTACTCGGGAGGCTGAGGCAGAAGGATCCCTTGAGCCCAGGAGTTTGAGGTTGCTGTGAGCTAGGCTGACGCCATGGCACTCTAGCCCGGGCAACAGAGTGAGACTCTGTCTCAAAAAAAAAAAAAAAAGCCACAAGAAAACCTTTGGGAGCGATGGTTTTGTGGGTGTTTACATATATCAAAACCCATCAAACTGTACAGTTTAATGTTATATAGTTTTATTGTATGCCAATTATGTGTACCTCAATGATGTAAAAAAAAATAACCTGAAGAATTTCTATGCAAGGAGGCTATCATAATCAGACTTTCCATATCCGCAAGAGCTTTGTCCTCTTTAAAGCAGCTAATGTACCATCCAACAATGCTGCCCTGGTTGTCCTCAGATCCATACCTTATTTTGATGATTTAATAAGCGTAACAATGACATTTATCATTTATGGTACCTACAATTGCTAGGCACTGTGCCAAGCATGTTACAGAGACAAAATTCTTAGAAAAACGACTTGGAAGGCCGGGCGTGGTGGCTCATGCCTGTAATCCTAGCACTCTGGGAGGCCATGGAAGGAGGATCGCTCGAGGTCAAGAGTTCGAGACCAGTCTGGGCAAGAGTGAGACCCCGTCTCTACTAAAGATAGAAAGAAATTAGCTGGACAACTAAAAATGTATACAACAAAAAAAATTAGCCGGGCATGGTGGCGCATGCCTGTAGTCCCAGCTACTCGGGAGGCTGAGGCAGGAGGATTACTTGAACCCAGGAGTTGGAGGTTGCTATGAGCTAGGCTTATGCCACAGCACTCTAGTCCGGGTGACAGAGTGAAACTGAGTCTCAAAAAAAAAAAAAAGAAAAGAAAATGACTTGGAGCCAAATTTAAGGCTTAAAATGGGAATCAAACAAAAATCAAATAGGCGTATCTAAAAACCAGTGAACTCAGTTTTTTATAATAATAACACCTTATATTTATTTAGCAATCAAAGGTAACATATACTGCAGGCAGATACCTGATTCATTCATAGATCTTAAAAACTGAGGTTTTGTGAACTACCCCAAAGTCATATAGCTCAAATGAAGGAGCCAATTCTTGATCAGAAAAGTCTTCTCACTCCAAGTCTAATGTTCTATCCGTTATTACCAGGTTACCTCTCTCATATGGTTTATAACTTAAACTTAAAGGAACTTAAAAAAAAAAAAAAAGGACACACAATATCAAGATGTCTACTTTTAAATATTCTACTAGGTTTATCAGAAAAATCAGTCCCATTAACCACACCTTATCGTGAGGCTTCTGTATCTGTGCCATGTACAGTATACACATAAAGGTATCAGGAACCAGACTAGTAATATATACTACCTGGTCCACTGTGGAAAAATAGTTCTAAAAATAAAAGTCTTTGATCCTCAAGCTGTTCCTTTCAGTCATTTTGGCCGCCAAGTCTATACAAATTTTCTAAGTGTTACAAACTTTTTATTTTTTAGAATCTGCCTTTTTCTCTCTCCAAATGAAATGCATCTGATTTTAAAAATTGCTCATTGCTGAGTGCTAGCACAGGATAGGGGTAACTTAACACATGCACAAAAACTTTTATTTAAGTTGACAAGCTTCTACAAATGAACTCTATGAATCAAGTTTTCACTGAGAAACGAATGAACCTATTTACACACAGATATAGAACATAACACGATTTTTGTCTTTGTTTTGTAATTCATACGTTTTTTTTAAATTTTTTAATTACTTTTTACTATATAATCGTTTATGGCAACGTCTAGATAATAACACACGATTTTGAAACTTGCAGTCTCACTGGGTTTAGTGTTTTTCCAAATGTCCTAAAGCAATAACGTGTCAGCATTTTCAGGTTATTAGTTTTCAAATTCGCTGTGTCCTAACTTACAGGTCAAGGTGCATTCAATTCCATCCATATATAGACTATAGTGTTTTCTTCCACCCTACCCCAAAAGCTGCATTAAAGACCCACAATCATGGCAGTGCCTGGACATTGGCATAGCACAGTCAAGACCCAAGCCAGCAGGCAAACTAGACCCCACTACTGACGGGGCAGAGAAGAGTGAAGAACCACTGTCAGTTCAGTTCAAGAATTCACCAAGCGCTGGAGTCCCAGGGGTGATGGTAGCGCCATCTCCTGGGTCTGGTCACTGAGCTGGGCACAAACACCTCCAAACTGAAAGCAGCTTAATTAAGGACGGGAACAATGAGAAAGATAAAAACATTACTTGAAGGACCGTCCTCCCCATCTTGTGTAAGAAACCAAGGCTACGCTTTATAAAATGGTCCCATAGTAACCGACTGGCACCATCTTTGCGAGAGCCACCGTCCCAGTGCTTACTCCTCACATGTGGCTTCACCATACCCCTACGGAATGTACAGTAAAAAGAGTTCAGAAGAAAAAGCCCATATAGGCCAACACGATGAACATGAGTCGTCAAGAAACTGGGGACTGAGGAAGAAATCTCAATCCCCTTATCTCTCTCTGAGTGGTGGCACAAGTGGCTGAAAACTGATCATGTATGTCCTCTAAGGCTGCGGAGGGTCGATGCTCCCTCCCAGGGATGGGCGACCCTAAGTGTCATGGCTGCAGGGACCTGGAAAGAGGTCAAAGTCACTGGGATCCTTGAAATCGCATCTTTATCGGTATAGGACATAGGTACGAGGGGACCCACCTCTAAAGTCCTTCCAGTAGGCTACCGTTAGGTAGCAAACACTTCCAGATCAAAATAAAGCAAACAAGATTTTTTAAAATTTTAAGTTTGCCTAATTCTGCTCATGACGCCATTTTCTGCCTGTGACGTCAGGGGAGGCGCCCAACGTCACGCATAAGTGACGTCGCGAAGGGAACGGGATTTCGGGGCTTCTCACCAGTTCCGGGTCCCCACAGGGGGGGTCCCGGTTTTCTCCGTTCCTTTGGATGTGTTGTGGGGCGCGAAGCTCAGCTATTTCCTAGAGTTTCCGCAGGAAAAGCGGCACTGCAGCCAGAGCGGCTCCTCTTCCCGCAAAATGGCGGCAGCCCCTCCGTCTTCCAGAAGCTTCCCCAATCTGCGCATGCGCCGGAACACTAGGCTGTGGAAGTAACTTCACTGGTTTCGCGGCAACAGTCCAAAGTACAGGTTCTCATAGGCTAAAGTCCTGAACATGGGTGGAGCAAACTCAAATGTCTCTTAGCAACCACCAAGTTCCCATTGATTGGCTAACCGCCCAAAGAAAGCGGAAGCGTCCTTCGGTAGCCGCCCATCAATCTCTCATTGGATAAATGACTTACGTAGGGCGGGGGAAAACCGGAGAACGGGAGTAAGGGAGCCTTGGTCCCTACTCCCGGGTCTCGCGTATACTAGGCCAAGCCGAGGGGCGGAGCCAACCCGGAGGTATGATAGACGTCCTTGGCCGTCTGTATTCTGATGTGAAGTGGTCCTGTCGTTCTTCCTCGGGACGGTTTTATGGAGAGCGGTTGCGTTTCCTTCACGTCCGAGATGCCTGCGAACTCTACATCTCCATTCTAGGTGGGCTGCCTACACAACCCTTCCAACCTGGGAAACCCAAGTCTCGCCACAGATTTGTCTTCTTCCACTCTCTGCCTCATCGTCATCACCTGGTCCCACAAGGCACATACGTTCGGTTCCAATCAGCGTCCCACACACCTCCCACAGCAAAAGTAAACTTCAAACAGGTAATCTCAGGTAACAGTAACCTTCTCAGGTTACTCTTTGGGTGCAGCAGTACACCGAGCCCTCTGACCAGAAAGGGAGGCCCTGCACGGTGGCTCAAGTCTAATTCTACCACTTTGGGAAGCAAAGTCAGGAGGATTGCTTTGAGGCTGGGAGTTCTAGGCTGCTGTGAGCTATGATTGTGCCATTGCATTCCAGCCTGGGCAACAGAGCAAGACCTCATCTTTAAATAAATAAAAATGAAGGAACTGATGTCCACCTTTACTTTCCAAAAGCTTCCAGGATCCCGGCCCTAACTTCAGCTACCTAATGTAGCTACCAGAAACGTATTTTGTTGTAACAGGGAGAGAGCCAGAGTCAGGGGACCTGAGTTCCAGTTCTGATTTGGATACTAACACCATGTCATTGTATCAATTTAAAATTCTCTCTCTGTAAAACTGAATTAAATGAGCTCCTAAGACTTCAAACTCTAACCCTGTGATTTTATTCAAACAAAATAGGTGGATTCCTGCTAGAGATGCCTGGAGCTGGCAGTGCAGCAGCTCAAGAATGCAGAATGGAAGCTGGCTTCACTCACTATTCCATCTTTCTTTCTCCAAGACGGAAAACTCTATGCCTCCTCCCCAGAGAAAAGCCTAACCACAGGTCCTAATGGACAAGAGCTCACTGCAGCTGATCAGAAAGGCCTATATGCAGGAGTCCCAGAGTCACCACTCAGCTTCCTAACTAGGAAAAACAGCAAGGCCCCTTTGGGTCTTAAATAGGATAAAGGCAGAGATCTGAACATGCCTGAACTAAGTGATGTGTGGGAAAACAGCGGCAGAGGGCGGCGGAGTAGAATAGGAAAGGGCCATAACTTTATTTGTACTTCCTCTTACACAAAACCATCAAAACAAGAACAGAGAAGGCTGAGGAAGGGCTGAAAATTTGTTCCAACCACATGTTCTCTGGATTATTCCAGGGAGCTCTTGAGGCTGGGTGCGTAGCTTCAGATCCAGCACTAATTCCTCACGCCCTGGCCTGAGGTCTTCACAGGTTGGTGGCTTGAGCCCTGCAATTATTGTTATTCCTTGCTCACCTTGACGTAAGGTGGGAAAGCAGATTGAAATGCTCCTATCTGATGGGCAAGTAGACTCATAGCCCATTGATGTACTGCACCTTCTGTGCTACTGGAGCAGAACCTGAAGCTGCTTCTAAGGCTCTGGACATTCGCACGCAGGGCTAGAGGCCAATGGTGTATGAGCGGCCTGTGGGGTTATGAATAGCAGAACAGACTGGTGCTGTCACAGCCCACTCATACCAGACCTTCTTGGAATTGCTGCATCGCCAAAAACGCACACAGATGGTCTGGCCTTCACGCACTGTAATGGGCTGCTGTAAGAAGAAACACAGGAGGTTCAGGATGGAGCTAATGAATTATATGTGGTGTTGTATTAAAGTAAGTGTGGAGATAAAATGATAAACATGACATACTGTTCCAACCCTCATGAAACTTATTTGAAGTCTATCAGAACATTCAGACATTAGAACAAATAAAAGTGTGGTAAGTGCTGTGAACACGTACAGGGTGCTATAAAAACACCTATGAAAGGGAACGCTAACCTAGTCTAGGCCCTGGTCAGGTAAAGTTTATATGACAATATATATTTTGAAGGAGACATGGAAAATAAGTTAGCTATGTGAACAGATGAGCAAAGAACTTTACAGGAAATGGAGAGTTCTGGGAGAAAGGTGTGAAAGCCTGAGGTAGGAAAGAAGATGGTTATTAGAGAAACCAAAAGACGGTCCATAGCACTGAAGCAGAGTGAGCAATGGGGCAACAGCTGAAAAGGCAAGCAAAAACTAGATTACACCAAGTCTTACTAGCAATGTCTTAGATTTTCATTTTTATCCCAAGGGCTGTGAGAAGGCATTGAAGGGTTTTAAGCAGCAGAGAGGAGAGGTCAGATCGTTTTTGTTTTCTGGGATTTTTTTTTTTTTTTTTACTATGGAATATATCAAGTATATTGACAGATTTGAGTTTTTTAAAAGATGACTCTCGGGACAGGCACAGTGGCACTGTAATCCCAGCCACTCAGGAGGCCAAGGCAGGAGGATCACTTGAGGCCAGGAGTTCAAGACCAGCCTGGGCAACATAGGGAGACCCTATCTCTACAAAAATATTGAAAAATATTAGCTGGTAGTGGTGGCGCATGCCTGTAGTCCCACCTACTTAGGAGGGTGAAGCAGGAGGATCACTTGAGCCCAGGAGTTCAAGGCTGCAGTGACCTATGATTATACCACTGTACTGGGCAATAGAATGAGACCCATTTCTTTTTTTTTTTTTTTTTTGAGACAGTCTCACTCCATTACCCTGAGTAGAGTGCTGTGGCATCAGCCTAGCTCACAGCAACCTCAAACTCCTAGGCTCAAGCAATCCTACTGCTTCAGCCTCCTGAGTAGCTGGGACTACAGGTATGTGCCACCATGCCCAGCTAATTTTTTTATATATATATTTTTAGTTGTCCAGCTACTTACTATTTTTTTTTTTTTTTTTTTTTTGAGAGAGTCTCACTGTGTTGCCTGGGCTAGAGTGCCGTGGCGTCAGCCTAGCTCACAGCAACCTCAAACTCCTGGGCTCAAGCAATCCTTCTGCCTCAGCCTCCCGAGTAGCTGGGACTACAGGTATGTGCCACCATGCCCAGCTAATTTTTTTATATATATATTTTTAGTTGTCCAGCTAATTTCTTTCTATTTTTAGTAGAGACGGGGTCTCGCTCTTGCTCAGGCTGGTTTCGAACTCCTGAGCTCAAACAATCTGCCCGCCTCGGCCTCCCAGAGTGCTAGGATTACAGGCGTGAGACACCACGCCCGGCCTTCTTTCTATTTTTTTAGTAAAGACGGGGTTCCGTTCTTGCTCAAGTTGGTCTCGAACTCCTGAGGTCAATCGATCCGCCTGCCTCAGCCTCCCAGAGTGCTAGGATTACAGGTGTGAGCCGAGACCCCATTTCTTAAAAAAAATTAAAAATAAATAAAGGTGACTCTTGCTCAAGGTAGAGAATGGACAGAAGAGTAGCCAGAGTAAACATGGAGAGGCCAGGTAGAAGGCCACTACAGATAATCCCAGTACCATGATTCAAGAGCATGGGAGAGCAGAACATGGGTCGTAGCCAAATATCTTCCTGAGAGAAGGAAAGACGCAGAACATCAATGGCAAAAGTTACTCCTTAACTGATAGAGTCTTAAAGGTAATTCCTACCTTAATAGGGAAGAGGATGGGAAACCATGAGAACATCCCAGGAGAGTGAGTCTCTGGACGGATACCTGTGTGGACAAAAGAATGAAAAAATGGAAGTTTCCATGACTGTGCATTTTGTCTAGGTTTAGGAGGGTCTCTTCTGTGATCACATAAACCATCAAAGGTTTCCATTCATTGACTCTGGGGCTTCCCATGAATCTAAATGAATATGTGTACATAAGCTGCTCTAGCAGCCCAACTTCATGCCCTGCCATCCACTGCCAGACACTCACTCAGAGTGATGTCCTGATAAAGCACAGTCTCAAAGTAGCCTGCAAAGCCATGTAGCACTGTGTTCACCTCCACAGGAAACTCCAAGGTACAGTAGCGGTTGTTGTCAATCATGGGATCTGTCAGAAAAGAACTGTGTGAGTGACAAGAGGCCAGAAACCCTAGACAACTTGGTAAAGCATGAGCAAGACCCAGGAAGGGAAGCCTAAATATGGCAGATTTAGGACAGCAAGAGAAGAAAGCAGGAGGGTGAGCTCACACACCTCTAGTCAGAGGATAGCCATACAGGAACCTACCTCTGTTGGGATGGCTGAAGGTGAAACAAGGCTGGGGTGCAGACAGCTGGTGGAAGTTGTGCAACCGTACCACATAAGGCATCTCAAACTGGGCCTGTCCCAGGTGAGAGAGAGAGCAAGAGCTAGAAAAGATAGGCAAGAGCTACCTACTTCCCCAAGGAAAGAAGTTCAAGCCTAAAGAACACAGAAAAAGATTACAAAAGCATAGTTTTACTTCAACCACTTTCCCCAACCCCAACTTCTTCATCTCTTCGTCGTCTCCAGTGGAAAAAAACAGTTGAGGCAAATACAGAAAAAGAAGAGGACTAAAGACTACCACTTCATTCCAGAAGAGTGGTTCTTTACCTCAGGGTCACGGTCCTTTTCCCGACAGGCTCGGACCTCATTGTATAGCTTGGAGGAGGAGATGGGAGCCAGGAAGGAGGTGTACTCCCCAGGAATGCTCACACCATCATCTGCAGAGTAGGAAAGTCAAATTAGCTCCCAAGGGAGGGAAATATTGTGTCTGTACAAAATGAAGGCTCAACTCTCCCATGTCAAAATAGACTAAGGCTGGCATGGACATGGCAGGAAGAGGCAG